AAATTTTATACATAGGTAGTATAATTTTGTATAGTAAATAGTTACTTAGGATTATACTCAAAATCTATTTTTATATCTAATTATAAAATTTTAAATTTAAAAAATGGTTAAAATCAAGTAGATCTATAAACATATGAAAATCTTGAAAATGGATGGTGTAGATAATATGTTGTAAAATGCTCTATTTTTGGGACTTAAAATCTTTTTATCTTTCATAGTCATACATCTCGATGTCGAGATGAGCAATCAAACGGTTTTTCAACATTAAAACTACCTTTCCGATGGATTTTTGAGGGGTATCCGTCGTTCTACATTATAAGGTTGCATCCTTATATAAACTTTTTCCATATATATATATATATTGGTGTCTCTCCAAATGTTTTTGAGTAATGTAGCTATTGCCTCACTATGGAATTTTTATGCTTCTGCCCTCAAGAAATTTTTTGTTTTAAAAATTGCTAACAAAATTGGAGCATGTGTATGGTATTCTGCAATAGGCATGGTGGATAGTCTAAGGGAGAGAAATTATGCTCTGTGAATGAAGTATGTTTTGTTCAATTGCATGAAGTGAAAAACTATTAAATTGTAGAAAAGGCGCTCATTCCAATGTAAGATAAGATGATAAAACTGCACATACATCATTTAACCTTAAATAGGGGTATTAGATGTTTGTAGGCAGTACCCATTTTAAGCCATACTTTGATCATTGGTGATATCTGCAACTTGGAAGATATGGGGAGCTTGTAATACTTCTGACCTAATGAAAGCAACCAAGTTTTTGGCAACACAAATTTATCGAGATGATGGTGGCATATATCGTACTAAGTTGAGGTAATACTGAAGAAGCCTAAATGGGTGATTCTTTGAACAATTAGAATCTCAATATCCTTAGAGGGGATGTTAACTTCTCAAAACTTTTAGACAATGGAGTTGGCCTTGGCCACCATCTGTATCATCAACTAGGGAGGATAGTGGTTTTTAATTATTTTAGATATGTGAGCCACCATATGATCTTAACTCATGAAAAGCAGTAGGTTTTGGGTGAGGGACATGTGATGTGTCTTTTAAGAAAATTATTGGTTCTCTAGAAATTTATAGATGTGTCCAGCTTCAGTAAACCTCAAATTATTGGGCATTAGAGACATGATTGGATAATATTGAGAGTGGACTTAAGAGGTAATGTTGTAAATTGAATTCAGGTTTACGATGGATCGATTTACCTCTTTTAGCCTTGCTTCTCATCTCAGTTAGCGAATGTTTGGAAATTGAGCTATACACGATAAATTCAGGATGAAGAATGTATACTTTAATCTTATATCATGGGAAGGAGAGGTAATATTTACTGTAAAAGATGATTCTTGTGTTCCGTAACTGAACTAAATAATTTGTTAACAGGGAAAGGAGCAAGGGGACTTTATCGTAAGGGATAACTGACATATTGAATGAATTGTGTTAAATTCACCTACAGAATGAAATAAATTTATGTAATCATGATCTTTTTGTTTCTTATACTGCATGGCAAACATAAGGTCAATCACATGTTGGCTATGATTCTCTCATGTTACCCCTTATCTTTTAATAAAGAGAAAATCAATTATCAACCTAACCTTTTCATAACTAACTACAGTGCAGGAAGCATCGGGAGAAGTTACAAAGGCGAGTTTCAACGCTGGCAACTGTTCCCTGGAATTTGTGAAGATGAAGCTGTCTTGGCAAACCAATTTTCTGTAACTATGACACTTTAATTTTATTTTTTCTGAAGTATGCAGCCACTAAAAGTATTTCTGAATTGCACAAAATTTAGGCCCTCTTCGTTTATGGAGAATTACTTCATGTCTGATGAGAAAATAAATATGAATAGACATATTATAAGGTGTATTCCCCTGGTGATACCAGATAGATACCCATAACACTCGCATAGCTCTGAAGAGGCCCAAAATCTAATAATCATGACTTTGGCATGCAAACATGCTATGAACACTTCAAGTGTTGCACTTCCGCAATGTCCATGACACACTGATTCATTGCCACAATATAAGGTCATACAAAAATCTGCAATGGAACCCAACAGTGATAAAAAACCCATTATCAATTTGGAAAAACTGGTGGCATCAGCTTGACTCGCCCAATTGCCTTGTTTAATGGATTAAAAACTTGAACATTTCCCAGTCTTTGGTTATACATACATGCACATATACATATGTATAACCATATGCATATACATTCATATATATATATATATATATATATATATATATATATATATTTATATTAATATATATATAAACACACACACACACACACGCATACATATGCATATTGTGTTGTTTTGATGCATAAAAGGCATTTTATGTGGTAAAGAGTGTGGTTTGGCTTAGTCACAGGCTGGTTTGGAATCCTAGAGTTCAATTTTTTGTACAGTGGTACCCAGGATGGTAAGTAGTCTGCCTTCTATGTGGCTCTCTACATGGTCTACTTGCTTGTCTACTAGTATTAAGAATACAATGAGTTGGCGCGACCAATGATAAACATGATAAAACAAGCATGACGATGAAGAACTTCCAACTACTAGCACATGGGAGCCATATTCTAGCATCCCATGTTGAATTCTGAGTTGAGTGCAATGAGGAAATTCTTGCTGCCAACGCATGGGAGTGACATGGCAGTATTTCATGTTGAAGCCCAAATTAAGTTCAAAATACAAATCTGGTGACCATAGTTCTGATCTCTGCTTGGAAGCTGGAAGCTTCCCTATATGAGTGTGTATGCATAAACCCATTTACTTTCATGTCCCTGATTAACTCCCCCCCAAAAGAAAAAAAGCTGAGCCTGTTTTGGAGATACCATCTGAATTAATTTAAACAAGCCATGTGGAGGAGGAGACCAAGCAACTGATCTTGTCTTTCAAGCTGATCCCTGTCTTAAAGGAATCCCCAGTTTATGTAGGCATCTGCACCAGTAACATGTTTTGGCTCTGGGGAAGCACAGTACTCTTCCATCAATCAATACTGGCATTGCGTTTTACTAAGGATTTCAAATAATAGAATATTTGGCCAGCCTAAATTTTTGCATATTTCCATAGCATGTTAAGAAGATTAATGACGCGATTGAAAGCTTTTCTATACTTGGAATAACTTAAGAGAAAAATCATGAACATGATTTGATTACTTGTGTTAGGCTTGGATGTGAGTTGTCTCCATTTAAATACTTTTCATGTGACGTGTCAAGAATATTCTGATGACAGAGTCCCCATAGACTTGTTTTATGGCTATCCTTGCCTCAAATATTGGCAACCAAATCGAATTCGCCTCCTTACCTAACCCATTAACAAAAAGAAAAATTAAAATCCTCATAGTAAATGGACCTTATTATTGTTTCATTTACCACACAAACACCTGTAAATCTATTTTAATTTACATTTCCCCCCTTTTAAGGATTACTTGTGTCAATCATTAAGTCATTTTTCACGCACTTGATATATACAAGATTTTAAACCTCCTTACTACGCTTATGGGTTACCAGGAATCTGGCTTGGGTCAAGACGGTAGAGGCTGGGATTTCATAGCACAATATCTCAAGTTCCATTCCTATGTAACCTTGTCAAAAAAGAAAAACATGGGCTACAGAAAAGGGTGCCTGAATCAAAACCTAACTGATGGTGCAAATAATTTTTTACAATTAGATTTTTTAAGTTTCAAAATTTATTTATTTTTTCATATTCATGATCCCCATGGTTGAGATCATCGATGCCTGGAAATTTGGATCCCAAAGGCATCTCTAAGATGGACTCATCAGAACTGGATCATTTTTTGAATTTTGTTTGCATGATGATTCTTTTAATAAGCAAATCATGTGAGCTCTGTCTCCCTAATGATGTATCTTCTTCAAATATCCAGTATGACATTTTTTTCAGTGTCCATTTTTCATTGAGGTTTTCCCCATTAGTTTTCACTATCTGTGCTTGAGAAGTTATTTTCTTCATCATCATGGTTTATGAAACTCTCACGCAAGCAAGGGTTACCAATTTATATATTTGATGTCTTCTATTTTCATTTATACAGGTTTTCATTTCACGTCCAAATGGGAAAAGTTTTTCTACTGTATTACACCCTGGTCGCCCAGATGTGCTCAAGTAAGTATCCCTCTTGATTATTTCATTGCTAAATTCATGAATTTCCATTCTTGTTTAGAAGAAGTTTATGTAAATTTTTAATGTGAACTTTTTTTTTTTTTACTACGTTATGTGAACTAGAGATTCTAATGTTGTTTTTCCAGTATTACTTTTTCTTCTATTAGTTGATTGAGTTGCTGGTGTTTGGTTTTACAGAGATCATACTATTTCAGGCATTGGATCTTGGGATTGGAACCTTAATGGGGAACATTCTACTTACCATGCTTTATATCCAAGGGCTTGGACAGTGTATGAAGGTAACAATATATTAGGAATATCTCCACAAACATATATGAATTTTAATCACCAAAAACATGTATGAATTTTAATCACCAAATGAACTTTGCTTTCTTTGTACATGTGATTTTACGTATTCTAGCTGACTTCTATTCCATTGCAGATGAACCTGATCCAGATCTTAAAATAGTATGCAGACAGATTTCACCAATTATTCCAAATAATTATCGGGAGAGTAGTTTACCTGTAACCGTATTCACATTCACGGTATGCAAGGGCACTTCAAGACATCTGGTGGCATCTTTCACTTCTCTTCATTATCATATCCTATTGTGAACTTATTTATTGATTCTGTCCAGCTAATAAATTCTGGGAAGGATGCTGCCGATGTCAGCTTACTTTTCACATTTGCTGTAAGTTAACAACTAGGATGTATATAATATAATATTGCTCATTTGTTCTTATATTTTCCTGGAGGTTTCATTAATTTTTACCAAGAAGAAGTTAATTTTATAAAACAATTATCTCTTAACTTACTGTCTTTTTCTTTATAATAGCAGATTTTTGCTGAAGTAGCTATGTAAATCACCTTTATCAAGTCAAGTGACTCAAAATCATCAGTCTTTGTATTGATCGTGCAATACTCAACTTCCTTGATAATTTCTTAGACAGTCCCCCTTATTTATTATCAACATGTATTCCTACTAGACTAACTATTTATTCAGGCTTAATTCTCTTTCGAAATACCTTGTAGAATTCTGTTGGGGGACAATCAGAGTTCTCTGGCAATCATCTCAATTCCCAACTGAGGTAACAATATATCTTACTTGAAATTAATATCTCACCAAATTTGTTGTTTTGTAGTGAGTAATTAATTTAAGTCTTTTCTATTATCCATACCTATTTGCGTCATATAATGCCTTCTTCACTGCGTGGAATGACAGGATGATGGATGGTGTGCGTGGAGTGACTCTATGCCACAAGCTAGTTTTCCTCTCTCATTACAATCTTTTTGAGTTTCATTTGCTCAATATAGATTAATTTGTTCACTTATTTGTCTATCTTTTGTCTCTTTATTCATGTTTTAGTGCATGGGCAATGCAGGGTGGTAAATGGGCAACCAGAAGTAACATTTGCTATAGCAGCCCAAGAGACCAATGATGTTCATGTCTCTGAATGCCCCAGCTTTGTGATCTCTGGAAATTCTCAAGGATTCTCAGCAAGAGACATGTGGCATGAAGTTAAAGAGGTTAGACATGTCACCATGTTTTCTTGGTGTTCATGTTGTGGAGATTTGATACTGCATCGTTGACCTATGTATTTCTGAGTGACTTTGTTCAATACATGTTAGAAACCTATTCTAGTTGACAACTTGTTTTGATAAATGCAGTCTATTGCATAATCTTCCTTTCTTTCAATCATTTCGTTCCTTACATGTTCAACATACTTCATGCATAGCTAACGTGAAATCAAACCAAAGTCGGGAATTTGTCACCTACTCATGATTCCTCACACATCCAACAAGAAGTTAATTCAAAATTTGAAAATACTCTTAACTCATGTTATATTCTGTTCTTTCTCAAGGATTTGACTTTTTAAGCTTTTTGTCTTAATAGCATGGATCATTTGATCGGCTTATTTCCAGTGCCACAACCATACCTTCGGAACCAGAATCATCCATTGGAGCTGCTGTGGTAGCCTCAGTTACTGTTCCACCTCACACAGTTCGAAATGTTACATTTTCTCTAGCATGGGCATGTTCTAAAGTCAAATTTCCTAGTGGAAAAATTTATCACAGGTAAGTAGTTGATTTCAGAATTAGCAGCAGTAATTGCAATCTTATCATATTGATTCCTGGTAATATACTTACAGGCGGTACACCACATTTTATGGCACTCAAGGGGATGCTGCGGCCAAACTTGTACACGATGCTATTCTAGGTAACAAATCTATAGACATGAGAATCCATAGATTTCTTTTTTTTAACAAACTTTTATCTTACAGGTCTTTACTTGTAGTATGTTTACCAATCTTATTATTGCTTTTCTATTAAGCCTATGAAGTCCATGTTAAAGAAAAGAATTGAAATTGATTACCAATTAGCACAAAGACTTATTCCATTTCTATTCAAGACAAACATATTTGAACATTTTACATTTTATGACACCTGACTATAGTATTGAAAGAGGAATATCCCATCTTCAAGAGGCCTGTAAGTTTAGATATTTTGTATCTCTAAATTTCTCAAGTTAGAAACAAAAAGAAATGCTTCTAATGATATGGACTTTCATCGATATATGTTATGCCCCTTACATTTTGTTCTTTGTTTCTATATGTTCTAGAGCATGGCAGTTGGGAGTCCCAAATTGAAGCATGGCAAAAGCCAATTATACAAGATAAAACCCTTCCAGAATGGTGAGTTTTATGTCCTTTCTAAATGTATTACAAAAACTCAACATTTCCACATGATCTTTTTGTAATATATAAACCATGTGACACTATTTGACTTTCTTTCTTTCAAGGTACCGCATCACCCTTTTCAACGAGTTGTACTATCTTAATGCTGGAGGAACAATTTGGACAGGTACTTCAAATATTTACAAGCCAAACTCCACTATGTGATTGAATTTTATCAATCTAAACATCTAGGCTCTGTTTTGCAGATGGGTTACCTCCTATCGAGAGTCAAGTTTGTGTAGAAGATAGAAAGTTCTCCCTAGACAAATCAAATTTTGAGAACACCACTTCCTTAGGTCGTGAAAATGATACTGCAATTGGGATCCTCGACCGAATGACATCCATACTAGAAGAAATGCAAAATCCAAGCACAGCTAATTCAGCCTTTGGACCCACATTACTCCTAAAGGATGAGGAAAACATTGGGCAGTTCCTCTATTATGAGGGCATCGAATATCACATGTGGAATACTTATGACGTCCATTTCTATGCATCATTTGCATTAATCATGCTCTTCCCAAAGCTTGAGCTAAGCATCCAAAGAGACTTTGCTGCTGCGGTGATGATGCATGATCCAGAGAGAATGAAAACCCTACAAGATGGTAAGTGGGTCCCACGAAAGGTTCTTGGTGCAGTCCCCCATGACCTAGGGCTAAACGACCCCTGGTTTGAAGTGAACGCTTATAACATTCATGATGTGAATAGATGGAAGGATTTGAATCCAAAATTTGTTCTCCAAGTTTACAGAGACATGGTATTCACCGGAGATAAATCATTTGCTCATTCAGTGTGGCCTTCTGTCTATATGGCGATGGCTTATATGGACCAATTCGACAAGGATAGAGATGGGATGATTGAGAATGAAGGCTTTCCTGATCAAACTTATGATGTGTGGTCAGTGACTGGTGTTAGTGCATACACTGGGGGGCTTTGGGTGGCGGCCTTGCAAGCGGCTTCTGCAATGGCCCATGAGGTTGGTGACAATGCTTCTGCAGATTATTTTTGGCATAAGTTTGAGAATGCAAAACGTGTTTATGGGACATTATGGAATGGTTCTTACTTCAATTATGACAATAGTGATGGCGCATATAGTTCGTCCATTCAAGCCGATCAATTAGCAGGGCAATGGTATGTTCCTTAGTTTTCCTATTCCTAATCCCATCTGTATATTTCTTTATGAATTTCACAATAAAAATGATGATGACTACGATGACAACAACAATATAATTGTCATTGTCCTTGTTGTTGTCGTTGCTAATGCATATCTATAGGGAATGGACTAGTAGGTCCACCTATATCGTTAGTCAACCCATGTATTTTATTTTGGGATAGATTGTCGACCTATATATCTTCTTTTCTATGTAGTTACTCGACCTATATATTTTCTTTTTGGATCAGTAGTCCACCTATATATGTTAGGATACTACATACAAAGAGCATTGTATGTGGCTCATGGCTACTTGATTTGCTTTTCAGGTATGCAAGGGCATGTGGGCTTGTACCAATTGTTGATGATGAGAAAGCACAAAGTGCACTGGAAAAAGTGTATCAGTTCAATGTGTTGAAGTTGGGTGATGGTAAGAGAGGAGCTGTCAATGGAATGCTACCAAATGGAACTGTTGATATGAGCACCATGCAATCTAGAGAGATATGGACGGGAGTGACATATGCTGTGGCGGCTGCTATGATTCAAGAAGGCATGGAAGATTCTGCATTTAAGACAGCAGAAGGAATCTATGAAGCCTCTTGGTCTCCAGAGGGGCTTGGGTGAGTTCTTACTTCTAGTTTTCTTTTGAAAATAATCTTTTCTATATTTAGAGATAATCTGAATAAAACAGAAGGGTCGCATTATTAATAGATTGCTTTCTATTTTGCAATTAATTTCATAGGATCCTTCCACAAATCTGAAGAACAATAATAGGCTGGTTCTTATTAACAGAGTATGAAACTAATATACAAATAGGACAAAGGGCATTCAAATAGTTGTTGGCATGGATTTATTTTAGGACCTGGATTCTGTGGCCAAGCCCGCATATGTAGAAATTCGGGCCTATTAATAAATCTAGTTTTTAGATAGATTTTAAGACTTAATATTTAAGAACATTTAATCTCTAACATGCAGATCATGAATCATGAAAAAATAAATAAATTTTAAAAGCTAAAAATAATAATTCTAGTAAGAAAACATTTGAACCGTTAGTCTCCATTGTTTTTAGATAGAACACCTACTTGCATCTATGTTTTAGATGGATGCTTTACTATTTCTGGACCGCATATGTAGAAATGCGGTCCAGCCCGCATGAAGCAATTTCCCTTTACTTTATGGGTGATGTCATATGCTCCTTTAGTTTCCTTTGTCAATTACTATATTGTGTTATGTTTTTTTTACACTGACAAATGACATGCATAACCCTTATTTACCTACATATTGCTCTGAGGGGTAGAGATTCAAGTGTTCAACACACTTGCACAATGTAGATAAAGTCCACCATATTATGAGGGGAATTATCATTCTCTTCATAGCTGAATTCTGGACATGAAGTTCATGAATAGCTACAAGGTTCTTCTCTTAAATTCGTTTTTCATAGGAGAGCCAAAACATTCATTCAATCAAGAAAAAGGGAACCAAAATGAAGAAAAACATGAAGACATTAACTAATATAGTGCATTCAAAATTAAATAGCTCGGATTTGTTTCTCTATAGGTACTCTTTCCAGACTCCTGAAGCTTGGAACACAAATGGTGAATTCCGATCGTTATCTTACATGCGCCCTCTCGCCATCTGGGCAATTCAATGGGCCCTCTCTCCTCCCGTTTTGAACAACAAAACTCAAAAGCCTAGAAAAACAACGGATAGCTCTCTCAAACATCATGTGGGTTTCTCAAAGGTTGCGGAGTTACTTAGATTACCAAAAGAGGAAAGTGCTCCCGGCTTATTGAAATATCTCTACGATTGCACTTGCAGAAGATTTAGGCACTGATCCAACAAGAAGTTTCATGGTTTATGAATATTTGCCAAAAGATCAAGGAAACGGCTGTCATCATATCTATATTCTATAATTGGTTAGAGTCCTATAGAGCACAGTCTGATATGAAAAGGGGTAGCCATGAATGGCTTGTATACATATTTATTTATGATTTGCAAATGCAAATGACTCTGCTTCGATGCATGAATGGCCTGTAAGGGTTTCCCGAAATGGAAATATTGATTTTGTAGTACTTTATATAATTATTTACTACTGGGAAAATCTGGTTTAATGCATGATATATTTGTTGTTTCATTGGTTTCCTAAGATGTGTGAACCGATTTAAGTTTGATGAGTTTTGCTACCTCTAGTTTCGGCCAAAATTGAATGGAAAATTTATACATTTCTAAGGAAAAAGACAATTCTTTTGTGGGCAAAATGCAGAATCGAGGAATTCAGTATGCCAAGGTTGAGCTAACAACATGAAAAGTGAGTAAAACTAATGAAAGTGAAACCATTGTGCATGCATGCACAGGAATGTCACATCGGCAGTATATATAATTAACAGTCAGAAGGCTGTATGTTCCCGCATGTAAAAAACCCTACCTACAATATCGTTGGGACCACAAACTGAATGCAACCTCCTCTACCTAGGGACCAGCCTAAAAAAGAGAAATAAAAAAATAAATGAATCGCATGTTCCATATGTCCCCAGATTGAACCGAGAATTTTTAAGTAGTCAGATCTAAGTATTTAGAATCGTTTTTTATACTCAACAGTGATTCTAAAATAGATTCCAAAATTTTTGGTCGAATAAGTGTACAATATGCTCTTGGGGAGCATGCTATAGGCACTTACAATTGAAAGGTTCAATCTATATTAGCAACAGTACATATAGGCAACATTGACATTGATGATACTTTTGAGCACATTGAACATAACCTCTCAAACTAAATACAACTTTTAAGAATACCATGCCATGAAGCACAAACGTGTAAGAGAAAGTTGTCCTATAGAGTCCTATGAACATTTTCCTTGTGACCTTACCACTGTGTAAATGGCTCAAAAGATGGCAATAAATTGCAAAGAGGACACGACGAAAAAAATACTAAAATAAGGGGAAAGATCAACAGGTTGAAATCTCAATATCTGAGTTTTTTGTAATATAATATGAAAATTTTGAATTTTTCATTATTGTTTAGAAAATATAGGGAATAATTCAAAACAAAAACCTAAAAATGAAATTTTATGAAAGGAAAATATCAATTTTTTTGTTCTTTTGACTGTGATCAAACTTTATACATGAGCAATCTATTATCGATAAATTTATGCACATATCGCCCAATTTTCCATTATTAGAAAACTCCCCTTTAAATTTTAGAATTTATGTTCATACCCAAACTTTTCGATTTTTTTTTTTTGTTCCAAATCTACCCTTGTTTTGTACCTTTTAATGGACAGGACCTTAAACCATGTAATTATAAAAGGAAAATTATATAAATATCCTTTTAATTTACCGTTATTACAGAAATTCCCTAAGATAGAAATATTACATTCATACCCAATTTGCACAATTTTGAATTTTTTCCCGAAAAATAGCGTGTAACAAACCTAACTTGTTTTATCACACATTTGCCACTTATATGCCCCAAAGCCCAAAAAATAAATAAAAATAAAGCACTTCGGATTCTAAAATCCAAGCTTTTACTTGACAAACAAGGCCTTTAAAATTCGGAGATTCAAAATCTGAAGTTTTTTTCTACAGTCATAAAAAAAAACTTTGGAATTTGAAAATCTAGAGTCGTTTCTCTACCAATAGAATAAACTTTGGACACTGAAAAACGAAAGTTTTTGGTTGAAAAAACAAGCAAAATTTTTAGCGCTTTTGATTAAATCAAGATCTAAGTTTTCCTACCATTCTGGTTTTTGGCTTTGAACACAACAAATGGGCTTTGATAAATTTCTGATATTCAAAATCTAAAGTATGGGTATTTTTAAAATGAACAAATTGGGTGAGATACAAAAATATATAAAAAAAAAAGAAAGGAAAAAGTTTATATAAGGTCGCATGTAGAAGTAAGGAGCACCTCAAAAAAATCAGGTAAAAATGATTGTTTCGAAGTTGAAAACCCTTCCAATCGATTATCTCGAGCTAAAGATATATGGATATAAAGAAAAATTTAAATAATAAAAAAAAACGTATTATAACAAGTTATTTGGCTTATTTATTTTCAAGATTTTTATAAATCTGTTCGATTTGTACTATTTTTATAATTTTAAATTTCATAACTAGGTTCAAGTATAAATTTTCAAGCCATCATAAGGTTTTTTATGCTGGAATTACATCTCTCGTAGTAATTTAGAAGGGAAATGTATACAATAAAATTATTCACTTTTGATAAAAGAATATCACATTATCATTAACGTTGATAACAGGTGGTTTAGATATAATATAAAAATAAATTTTTTTTTTTATGTTACGACCCACGTTTGTCTATTAAATTCTGCATCCAATGGTTAAAAGCCTAGGAGTGATTGTGACTTCTTATGCAAAAAATAAATTATTTTGTTATACAATTACTTAGAAGCACTTACACTGTGTGAAGAGGCAACCTTATGTATACTTTTCCTAACGGATGATCGGGAGGACACGCGCGTTAATTACACAAAAAAGTTTCTCTCTCATCTGAGTTCATATTTTCTCTCACATCCTCTCTCTCTTAACCCAAAATATGGCGAAAGGCGAGGGGGACAGCCCCTTAAAATTTGAACTCAGGAGAGAGAGGGGGGACCTCCACCCTAAAAATTTAACCTTTCCTCTTAATTCTTTTGAGAGAGATTGATTTTCTTAATTGATGAGCTTTTCTATTCCCTTTGATCTTTGGAACATATCCAGATAAAAACCCATGTCTTCTGATAAACAACCAGACTTCAAAATCGATCGAAGGGTCCATAGCGTCGATGATCCTCATAGAACAGGGACTGTAAAATACGTAGGTCCCGTTCATGGCTACTCTGGATTCTGGGTTGGTTTGGATTGGGACAATGGAGATGGTAAACACGACGGCTCTGTAAATGGGGTTCGGTATTTTCAAGCGAGAAGTGAGCATTCTGGTTCTCTTGTGAGGCCTCATGCTTTAAGCAAAGGAATTTCTTTTGTTGAAGCTCTGGATCGTAGGTATAGAGCTGACAGCACAAAGGAAGAAGAAGGTAGCTTCAATTGTGTCTGTATTTCTGCTTCTTTTGTTGGGTTTTCCTGCTTGTGTTTCTCTCTCTCTCTCATTGTAGAATTGTTTGGTTTTTCCACTTTTGTTTGTTTCTTTCTGTCATTCTTGGGTTTTTCACTCATGTTTGTTGCTCTCTCTCTTTTCAATGAGGTGCATTGTTTCTAGCTAACTGTGAATAAGTATTTTATATGGTGATTTTGGAACCAGTCATGAAATGGTTTGGGCTTATATCTATTTTCATTGTTGGGGCTTCTTCCTATCATTTTACATCTAAATTAAGTAAATTATTTATGTCACACTTATTGAATCTGTGTGTGTGTGCGTGCTCACACGCCTCATTGTTTCATGACCAACTGTGCGTCATTGTTTTGGTATGTTGTAATGTTGTAATGCAAGGTGCTCTCTCTCTCTCTGGTGTGAGCATGTGCGTGTGTGTGCGTGCGCTCGCAATCAAGAACAATAAGTGGAACAATCTATAGTCATAGTTATTTTTATTTTGTCTTGTCACTATCATCTTCTTGGATACTTTTTATATCTATATTTTTTTGGCATAAGATGTAGATACTCTTGTTTTTCTAGGAAAGTATACAATGGTCTGATAGAGTATGATATATGGTACTCCAGAGGGCATCTGGTTCCTAGTGAAAGACAGTGGAGGCTCACTATAGTAGCCACAGTTAATCCCAACTTCCATCATAGGAAACACTGGGTGGACTCTCCTTTTGAGTACCATATGATTTACTGTCCAATATATCGATTGCCTTTGAATTATGCCTAATGCTCTCGTATTATTTGTGTTTATATTTTAGATGAAATGTATGTGCTTTCGACTAGCAAAAGGCGAGTCAACATTGAACTTGTAGGCAAAAACAAAGTTCAAGAGAAGTTGCAGAAATTTGAAGACATGCACTGTGCATCACTTGCCTGTTTGGGGGTCAGTTCCCCTGGATCTCCACATGCTATTGGTGCTATTGTACCAAGTAGGTTGACGATGATACTCTTCTCTTGTTTATGGTTACGGCGTTTTAAACATTGTCTTCAAGTGAAATCTTAAGAGTAGTTATTTTTGCACTCGGTGGCCCAAGTTCTTGTGAACTGCACTTTTTCTCTTTTCATCTGATTTAATTTAATTATTTCTTGGATACGGAAAAACGGGATGCTTAATGACTACTTGTCGTCATATTTTATTTGCATTTCATACCTTATGTGGAACAAGAACTGCACTTTTTCTCTTTTCATCTGATTTAATTTAATTATTTATTGGATACGGAAAAACTGGATGCTCAATGATTACTTGCTGTCATATCTTATTTGCATTTCATACCTTATTTGTGTTTCACATATGTGCTTTTTGTTCAAAATATACATATCAAATTGTTGGCATCTTTTGAGTTTAGCCAAGATAAAATTAATGAGCTAGTGATTCTTTTCCGATGTTATCTAAAACAAATGTTTCTGTATAGATATTATAACGTCAAAGTTTTTGTCATAATTTTCTGAGTGCTAATGCTTCTTTGATTGCATTAAATTGCCATATTTTGTGTTGTTAATGCTCTTCTGGTCTCAGATTTCCTATGCCAGTTTGTTCCATCCATTTAAATGAAAGTAAATTTAACTATAGATTCAAACAGTTATTCTTGCTTTTAGAGTAGCTTCACACAAAGTACACAAATGCAGCTCAATCTTTATATTATAGATGTTCCAAAAATCTTAAATTATTGATTTCCTATTCTGATTATGTTGCACATTTGGTCTGCCTATCGTAGTGTTTCTATTGTTGCTATTGCAACTTATTTTTTTAATTATTATATTAATGTACTTTTTTCTTTCTCAATTCCAGATCTTAGGGAGCTTGATTTGACTGGTAGCTTACTTGGGGATTGGCAGGATGTGTGTGCCATCTGTGAACAGTTACCGGTTCTTGAAGTTCTAAATTTAAGCAACAATCAAATGTCACATAATGCCTTAGCCATGCCTTTGCTTAAAAGCATTCGCATTTTGGTATTGAACAACTGTGGAATAACATGGAAGCAGGTAATTGCTAGCTTCTTGTAATCTTACTTTCTATGAGTTCTACTTGGGGTGGTTAATATCATTGGCATATCATTGAACAGGTTGAAATATTGAAGCATTCACTTCCTGCACTTGAGGAGCTTCATTTGCTGTCAAATCAATTGGAGTCAATCGAGGTAGGTGTCATAAGTTTGTGAAGAATCCAGTTATCTTTTCTATAAAAATTGAACTAGTGTTACGTGACTCGCCCGAGTCAACTCGGTTTCGGGCGAGTTACTTGGATCATCCTATGGGTGAGGCTCAATAGCGTGTACACATGTAAATAATATGCATTACCATTTTAATCCAAACAGGTCTTAAATGGCTTTTTGGCTAGTACGTACAGTCTATAGGCCTCACGTCCAAGGTTCAAAGTCAGTCAGACTCTGCCCAACAACCTTCTCTTTTTTTTGAATAATCAAAGGGGGCTCATTAAAGTAAGGGGTTATTATGGGATTCAAAAATAATATCCATTTGTGTGGCTCAATCCCTCAACCTCTTGTTGAGGACCCACGCCATCCAGCTGGTGTGCCATTTGAATTTTAGTGTTAATAATTTGTTTTATATATATATATATATATATATATATATATATA